ATAAATGATGGAATATTATTTCAGTCTATTTTCCAGGTATTTTGGTCATAAAATCCACCATTTAAATATCTACGTAAACTTTTTTACTTAGAATATAAGCAGATACAACTTATTTGATTCCTTCTGACGGCAGGAAACACATCTATAAATACCCAAATTGTATTGTAGAGCTCCTTCTGCAGAATTTACTTCCATGACTGAGCCATTTGGAGAATTCTAATATCATTCGATTTCGTACCTCAAGATTCTGACAAAATACTATATCATTCATTATGTGGGAACATCTTCAGTCCAACTTCTTCTAAATTCACAAATGTTACAAGCTTTTAATTTTGTTGGCTAATGTTTCATTCCATTCCAGTGTTTTCTCGAGGACTCCACTGTTTGGGGCTGTGGCACATCCCATTAATTGCAAATTATATTGCTCAAACTTCGTTAAAAATGGTACCGGACTTCAAGAGCTTCAACACTCTCTTTTATTCCCAAACCCCCCAAAAACCTGCAAAACTTAAGGGATTTGAACAATTGCCAATTTTTCCATGCTCGTCCAAAATATTGTTTGCAGAAACAGCGGCAAAATATTAACCAATCATCTGAAGTTTTTTTAAAAGTAATTCTTGAAAACATTCGAAACATTCACGCAGCTCTGGTTGCAAGCCTATGGGTCAAGCTCGAGGATTTAAAACTTTGTAAAATTTTTTCTTGCTTATTGTTAGAAAGATTGTTTACCAAAAAAGGCTGCAAAAAATCGAAAATCGATTATTACGCGCAAATGAAGCTTACGAGTTTCATGATGATGAGATTTGAAGTGATGGGGTTCTTTTTTCCTTGATTCTTCGGTGTTCAAGTGGACTCAGGAACAATCGAGCCTGCGGAGCAAATTGGTGGAACCACACACTGATTTGCAAGTGCACTGCTGGATTGGCAAAGCCGAACTGATGCCGATCCCAGCAAGCAGCCAAAGTTTAAATACTCGGGTGCCACAAGGTTTCCCCAATGTTCCTTCGCAGAACCCAACCAGAGACCGGCAATTACGCGATTAGTTCCCGGTACGTATCCCCTTTCCCACACAAGTCGGGCGCAACTCGAGTCTCATGACGACGCTGGGTTTTCGTGGTGGGTAAGAACGACACATAAAAGAAGAAAATACAAGAAATAAAGTTAATGATTAATTTCCAACTGCAATCTCCTGGCCTTTTTTCAACTGTGCAATCAGCGGAACGAGTTCCTGGTTTGGTCTGGGATAAAGCAGCAAAATCAGGGGCAGTTCAAAGTTTGAGCTATCCACCCTGCCCCTTTTTTCCAATTACGAATCAAGTTCCTTTGCAATGGAAATCAATGTTTTCAAAGAGTGTATTTTAACGATATTTAAAACAGATTGAGTATCAATTTGAGCATCTTAATTGACTTTATACAAAATTATAAATGTGGAAATGTACATCAAGAAAACCAGAACTTAGTTCACTGGCTTAATTTTTGTTTCCGTTTCATATTTTTTCATATGAAGGCATGCACAATTTAATCTAATATTAGTCTGTGGTTTAACTCTAGAATTACTGTGATGAATTACCTCACAGAGCCAATTCTTGTGTCTTGTTTTTGACGAGATTTATTTGCTCTTCCCAAAGTTTTTAGACATCGAGATTATATTTCTGAAAGGTGCGCCAATGTGGATTGGCATGCCAAAAGATAAGGGGCAAAACCATCTGGTGGCAGTAAAGCTGTCAAAAGGATGACCCCCTTGAAAATTGGCAGGGGTCCCCTGCTTTAATGAAGGACTGAATTACCCAAAACTTGAGATTTTATGATATACTGCACCATCATCCACCAAAAACAATATCCGTCTTCTGTACACCGTGTAAACGAACTTTCTCCCGTTAAACAAGAGTGTCTTAAAAGGAAAGGTTATCAGGAAAAGGACTTTTTGAGTTTAAAAATCATTATCTTAAGGTTGTACGTCATAGGGAATAACGTTGCCCTTAACAGTTGAGCCTAATTTACTGGGATATGGGGGAAGTACATGACGTTGCTCACAACCACCTCCCAGAATAGACTGAGAGGAGAAGAAATGCATAAAAGCCAATCCACAACAGGACCAGCACTACTACAAAAACACAAATTGTCACACCATCAATTACTCACACAAAACTTTGCAATAACTTCCAAAAACTCAAGACATTGGTTGATGGCAAAATTTGTTGCTTGTAAAGAATTGCTGTGTGAGTGAAAATTGTATTCTTGTAAAAAAGTGTTGTGTGAATATTGCTGAAAGTGAGAAACATGTTTTTTACTCATTCTTGGCAGGTTGTGCACCTGCCAATTCCTGTTGAATTCATTTCCATCTCTTCTTGTAAACTTTTTGGGCATACACTAAATTCTGCTTTTGTAATTGTTAAAAATCCAAGTAAGTACATTTATCTTCCAACCTCTGGATAAAAGTTGCACAAAAGCTGTAGCAGAGTGTTGTTGGACTGAGAAATTGACTATAGAAAGCCTTCCACTACTTAAAGCTACTCTTCATTCTTTAAAAAAAAGGATAATTCTAAAAAAATTCAACTATGCCCTATACTAGACAAAGAGCAGCTGAAACTCTGGGTCAAACCAATTCAGCTAACTCAATTTAAGAGATTGAAATTTATAATCAAGCAACTCCATCCTGGGGAATTTTCTCAGAAGAGAGTGCCTGGATGCCCCTCTGAAAATCAAATTTTAAGTTTTCCTCAAGTTTTTGACAAACTCCAGATTTTGTATTCCACATGTCTCCAGATTTTGTCAAGTTGGAATTCCCCTTTTAAGAAAAATGTTGTCAGCTACAATTTGGTCAAAGGGGATTGCGACAACTCAAGGTGTCACCCTTACTGTCAATTGTATGCTGACAGTTTTAATTGATGTTGACCAGGAATTTTGAAGTGTCCTACAAGTGATTGCTAAAACTATTGCAAGTGTTTAAAGAGAGTCCCTTTTCAAAAGGGTTGTTTATTTCAAAAAAAATTTTGGAGGTTATCCTTGTGATGGAATTCAGATAAAAAGATTTTTCTTTGAAATTGTCTTAAAAAGCCTTTTGAAGTTGAATAAAAAAGAAAAATGGAGAGTTCTGATGAGATTTTGACTCAATTGGCCAAGGTCACAAAGAAACCTTCATTTATGGTGAGATCCCTGAGGACAGGGACAATTTTGAAGAGTGCCCCAACCTAGATTCTGAGGGAAACTCAGGTAATTTGCAGATACTTTCTATATATTTTTACTAAGTATGGAAAAATAAATTTAATTTCTATAAAAAAAAAACCTTTTATCTTTGTCTGATAGGTCCCCTCTTGTCATAGCAACATCTGGTAGTTCCAATGAGCAAGAGAGCAAGGCCACTGATGAGGACTTCATGTTGGTTTGTTGCCAGCCAGGTGTGGGGGATCTCCAAAAGGATCTCTGCATTGCACTCAGCCAGTTTAGACTGACTATCCAATTTGCTGCCATTTTTTGTTTGGGAATGCAAATTCTTTTGTTGCTTAACTTGAAGGCACTGACATTATGATTTGGAATTGTAAAAGTTGTGGTTATCAGCTTGAAGCATCATCATCATGCACAACAGCATTTTTGCATTTAACAAAAAATAACCAGTCCTTCAGGGAAATCACTTGCATTTGCACAAAAGGCAAAAAAACATCAAAAATCGCAACAAAGATTGCAATCCCTTCAGAAAATAGCAAAGTGAATGAAGCAGCAGCAATCTGAATGGAAATCAGGGAATATTCACCTCACTAGATGCGACATCTGATTCAAAATGAGCGGAAACACAAGCAACATTTCAGAATGAAACAACAGAGAAGGAACAATATATTCTTCTACCCCAAAAACGTATATAAATAATAATTGCGAACTTTCAAAGTCATATTACAGTAAATGGGACCCAGAACAATATTTTCAAATTAAATTAGTTTTTGAGTACGGTAATAGAAAATGGGTGTTTCTCTTGACATGAATAAAGGAGCACTTTCAACGGTATTTGTTCACGAGAAATTTCTATTAAAGAAGACTCCATTTCTGGGATATGTGCTGAGGGTGTTCTCCCCAAATCTACGTACTAAAATTTACCCAAAAATAACAAGCATGCCAAGATATATTTTAGCAGGCGAACATTTAAAGGGTGGATGCCTCGAACTGCCAACTAAATGGGGCTCGTGTAAAAATGGTAATTATAGTCAGATAGTCACTCATCAACGATTTGTCTAATTATTTTGGGTTCCAACCACTTTACATGCATTAATGTTCCAGTAAATGATCAAAACCAAGTAAAGGAATTACCGGAAGTGGGATCTCCAGGCTCCAGAGTGATTTATTACAAATCCGTGTTTGCCTGACGAGGCTAACATGCAATTGAATTCATGAAAAGGTTGTTTTTTTCATTCTCATGGACAAATTATGAAGGTCCAGCCTTATGCAATTTTTAAAGCTATACCCTTGAAGATTTAAAAGGGTCAAAATCAGGGTTGGTGATCATTCATAATATTCATGCAAGGGAAAGTTCAACTGACGACTCAGAGCTGTCGCCATTTTTCCAGAAATTCAAATAACGGCTTATAAAAATTCTGAAAATCCATGCTGGAAATTTCTGGCTCATTTGATTGCTGTAACGGTTTTTTGCTTACTTTATCCGTTCAAATTTGTTCACTTGATTCCAAGTTCATTTTTAGACAAGCAATTCAAAGCATTGATATTGACTGCTGTCATGAGTCCATTGGATTCCAGACAAAGGAATTGAATTGTGCAGCCATCAGAATGCAAGTTTTGAATAAGAACTCAAACTTTTTTTCAGACTAGTTTATTCTCATTGCCCAGTTCATCAATTGGCTGTTAGTTCAATATAATGGCAGAGTCAATGGTTAGCTCAGAATAATGAATGAGGTAATTAAAAGTTAAAATGCCCTTTAGCATTAGGTTCTGACTTCTTGACTTCTCCTCTCAAAGAGGAATGAGGGTTTTTATACCCAGGTGGTTTGACTTGGTCAGGAAGAAATCAGATGATTTCTTCCTGGCTCAGGATTGGCCAATTCAGGCAAAATCGAAGAAGTGATGACCACTTCTTGTCCTTGAGTGAGGCTCAGTGAGTCTTGCAAAAACGGGATTTTTGCAAGGCTCACTGGCCTCCAGAACCAACACGTTTTTGGGGTCCAGTTTCCACCCAATGCTGGAGCTGCGTCACTTCGGTCCGCGACAACTGCTGCTGGTGATGTACGGAAATAAGAACATGTGAGTCAGGCAAACGCGGTGCTTTTATTCAAGCTCGAAAAAGGAACGTGACAGACAGCAATCATAAAATCCATAAAAGAAATTGCCCAAGTGATCGCTGGTATTTGCAATGACTGTGGATTTTAAAAAATAATAAAAGGATCTCGCTCATTTTGGTACGATCTGCCCATTTTTTGATTCGCACGGCCCCCTGCTTTATGCTCATCAGAAGTTCAGTGGGTCAGGATTCCTTCCTTTTTTTTTTGCGTGTTGTGTTCCTAATTAACCCTTATGACTCTTGTATTTGCGAGAATATTTGGACTCAGCACCAGCCATGTCATCGACTTGTTCTTCCTCTCCATCAATGTGCTTCTTGCCGTAGCTCTTCTTGGAAATGGATTTTAAAACATAATAAAAGGATATCGCTCATTTTGGTGTGACCTGCCCATTTTTTGATTCGCACACCGTCCCCTGCTTTATGCTCATCAGAAGTTCAGTGGGTCAGGATTCCTTCCTTTTTTTTGCGTGTTGTGTTCCTAATTAACCCTTATGACTCTTGTATTTGCGAGAATATTTGGACTCAGCACCAGCCATGTCATCGACTTGCTCTTCCTCTCCATCAATGTGCTTCTTGCCGTAGCTCTTCTTGGAAGATCCGCCATAACGACGCCCTCCGTGGTGTTTGGATTCCTCTCCGGCCATATCATCGACTTGTTCTTCGTCTCCGTCAATGTATCTTCCTCTCCATCAATGTGCTTCTTGCCGTAGCTCTTCTTGGAAGATCCGCCATAACGGCGCCCTCCATGGTGTTTGGATTCCTCTCCGGCCATATCATCGACTTGTTCTTCGTCTCCGTCAATGTGCTTCTTGCCGTAGCTTTTCTTGGAATAACCGCCATAACTGCGCCCTCCGTGGTGCTTGGACTCCTCACCAGCCATTTCCTCGACCGCCGATTCGTCTTCCTCGCCGTCGATGTGCTTCTTGCCATAGCTCTTCTTGGAATAACCGCCATAACGGCGTCCGTGGTGCTTGGACTCTTCGCCAGCCATATCATCGACTTGTTCTTCGCTTCCGTCGATGTGCTTCTTGCCGTAGCTCTTCTTGGAAGATCCGCCATACCGGCGCCCTCCGTGGTGCTTGGACTCTTCGCCAGCCATTTCCTCGACCGCCACTTCTTCTTCTTCTCCGCCGTTGATGTGTTTCTTGCCCTTGTAGCGGCGGCCGTAGTGTTTGGATTCGGCGCTGAACATGTCGTCGTCGATGTGCTTTTTGTAGCCGCCCTTGTAGCCGCCGTGGCGGCGGACGTACTTGGATTCCGCTGCTGTCATGTCTGCGTCGGCGGCGCTAGCAACCGCGGCGCAAACCGCAGCCAGGGCAACGAGTGTGAGTGTCTGCAAAAAAAGCCGCCCTTGTAGCCGCCGTGGCGGCGGACGTACTTGGATTCCGCTGCTGTCATGTCTGCGTCGGCGGCGCTAGCAACCGCGGCGCAAACCACGGCCAGGGCAACGAGTGTGAGTGTCTGCAAAAAATTGGAACGAAACGAATAATGCAATAGAATCCACTTGCAAGGAATGTCGTTGAAACGAGCAATCTCAGCGAAGAAATTTTTTTTAAGGTCCCTGCCTAATAGCTATAATGTTGAGCGAATTGCTGTACATCGTGTATTACAGTATACAATTTGGAATAATTCTTTTTGCAATGTATATGAGGGAATCCCACTCCAAATTTTAAGAAAGGTCCCGAAAAATGCTTCTTTGGAAAAAGTGAGCATAGCTTTAAAATTTTTTTTGATAGAATGAAAATGCTGCTTCATGCATGTCGACTAAGAATAAAATCATATTGTAAACGCTCAAAAATATTTCCCTTCTGTCTTCTTAAGTTCAGATCTTTCACGTGCAATCTTGTCCCCTCTACCATTTCTTGGTGTCGTTCATTTTCAACAGCAACGGTTTCCTAATCAAAATCATGGCATATAAAGAATGTATGTAAAACAAATGTTCAGACCAAGTCTATTCTCAATTCTACATCTGCAAAGGTTAAACTGAGATATTATACAATGCGCAGATGAAACTGCATTTTTGCTATGTGCATCTGCACACTTGGTACATTTTAGTAATGGGAATTTGGAGGAAGCCTATGCAGCAGTTAGCGAAATTAAAATTTGTCAGGAGATCCTGCCTGTGATTATTTGATCATCATTCTTCTTGATGAAGTTCTGTTCGATTTAAACAAAAATATGCGTTGAAGAGAATTCAACTAGTTTTTCGTGTCGAACATCATCGTTATGACGATGAATAAATCCTGAAATGTAATGTGCAGGGGTCCGGTTAAAGCACTGATCCTATATATTTCATGCAACCCTGGTGAACCTTTTTCAAAACATGAATTTCAATCAGGTTATCAAATTTCAGAAGAGAATCTGATTGGAATTGATGGGGTGTGATGAGGGACAACGTGAATTTCATACATTCTTCTCGAATTGCATTTTAAGTCGAGTTAAGGATGATTGCTTGCAGATGTCACTTACACTGGAACGAATGTTCACAAGAGAAAATAAATCCGATTTTATGCCTGAACTGCAATTCAAAGTCTTTCAACTTTTTTTAGAGGGAAACGAAAAAATCATAACACGAAAATGCAACTTCCTTTTTTTTTTTTACAAAATCTACGCATCGTCTATACTGACATGGATTTGAATTCGCTATAATCGTCGAATACAGTATTTGTATTAAGTCAATGTCGCTCCTTATAAATTGTCACGTGATAAATGATGGAATTAGGTCCGACATTTTCCTAGTAATTCTTATTACAAATTGCACCATTTCAATATCTACATCATGAACCATTTTACTCAGAATATAAAGGGAAGCAACTTATTTGATTCTTTCCCACAAAATGAACCACAGATATAATAGCTATATCATAACGCAGAGCTTCTTTTGCAAAATTTATTTTCATGACTGAGTCATTTGGAGAATTCTAATATCTTTCTATCTTTCATACCTCAAGATTTTGGCAAAATAATATATCATTCATTATGTGGGAACATCTTCAGTCACACTTCTTCTAAATTCACAAATGTTACATGCTTTTAATTTTGTTGGCTAATGTTTCATTCCATTCCAGTGTTTTCTCGAGGAATCCACTGTTCGGGGCTGTGGAACATCCCATTAATTGCAAATTATATTGCTCAAACTTCGTTAAAAATGGTACCGGACTTCAAGAGCTTCAACACTCTTTTATTCCCAAACCCCCCAAAAACCTGTAAAACTAAAAGCATTTGAAACATTGCCAACTTTTCCATGCTTGTTCAAAACATTGTTTGCAGAAACAGCGGTAAAATATTAACCATACATATGAAAATTTTTTAAAAGTAATTCTTGAAAACATTCGAAACATTCACGCAGCTCTGATTGCGAGCCTGTGGGTCAAGCTGGAGGATTTAAAACTTTATAGAAACAGCGGTAAAATATTAACCATACATATGAAAATTTTTAAAAAGTAATTCTTGAAAACATTCGAAACATTCACGCAGCTCTGATTGCGAGCCTGTGGGTCAAGCTGGAGGATTTAAAACTTTATAAAACTTGTTCCTGCTATTGTTCGAATAAGATTGTTTACCAAAAAAAGGTGCAAAAAATCGAAAATCGATTATTACGCGCAAATGAAGCTTACGAGTTTCATGATGATGAGATTTGAAGTGATGGGGTTTTTTTCCTTGATTCTTCGGTGTTCAAGTGGACTCAGCAACAATCGAGCCTGCGGAGCAAATTGGTGGAACCACACACTGATTTGCAAGTGCACTGCTGGATTGGCAAAGCCGAACTGATGCCGATCACAGCAGACAGCCGGAGTTTAAATACTCGTGTGCCCCAAGGTTTCGCCAATGTTCCTACGCAGAACCCAACCAGAGACCGGCAATTACGCGATTAGTACCCTGTACATATCCCCTTTCCCACACAAGTCGGATGCAACTCCAGTCTCGTGACGACGCTGGGTTTTCGTGATAGATAAGAAGGACACAAAAAGAAAAAATACTAGAATTAAGTTAATGATTATTTTCCCAGACCGCAGAGGACCGGAAAAAAGTTGATACGTTAGTCACCTTGCTCAAGGAGCAAACCAGACCCTATTTCGTCGTTTTAGTCCCCGTCAAGTTTCAAACTCGATAGGTGGGACGGGGAAAAAAGGTTTTACGAATCAAGTTCTCCTGCAATGGGAATCAGTGTTTGCAAAGAATGAGTTTTAAAGATATTTAAAACACATTGAGTATCAATTTGAGCATCTTAATTGACTTTATACCAAATTATAAATGTGGAAATTTACATCAAGAAAACCAGAACTTAGTTCACTGGCTTATTTTTATTTCTGTTTCATATTTTTTCAAGGGAAGGCATGCACAATTTCATCTAATATTCCATAGATTCACTATAGAAATTCTGTGAAGAATTACTTTACTGAGCCAATTCTTGTGTCTTCCCAAAGTTTTTAGACATTGGGATTATATTTCTGAAAGGTGTGCCAATGTGGATTTCCAAGCCAACAGATAAAGAGCAAAACCTTCTGGTGGCAGTTAATCTGTCAAAAGGATGCCTCCCCCTGAAAATTGGCAGGGGTCCCCTGCTTTAATGAGCAACTGAATTACTGAAAACTTGTGATTTGATGATTTAGAAGTGGTCGTAGGTGGTTTTTGGTTTTCCACCTTCTGGACACCGTGTAAAAGGACTTTCTCCCGTTAAACAAGAGTGCCTTAAAAAGAAAAGTTTTTATACAAAGGACTTTTTGAGTTAAAAAAACGAATAGAATTCTAACATGCTGTATCCTAATAATGTAGCCCTTAACAGTTGAGCCAACTTTACGGGGATATGGAGCAAGTACCTGATGTTGCTGACAACCACCTCCCAGAATGGACTGAGGGGAGAAGAAATGCATAAAAGCCAATCAACAACAGGACCAGCACTACTACAAAAACCCAAATTTTCACACCATCAAGTACTCACACAAAACTTTGCAAAAACTCCTGGAAAACTAAAAAAAATTGGTTGATGGCAATATGTGTCACTTGTAAAGAATTCTTGTGTGTGTGAAAATTGTACTCTTCTAAAAAAAGTTTTGTATGAATATTGCTAAAAGTGAGAAACATGTTTGTGCTTATTCTTGGCAGGTTGTGCACCTGCCAATTCCTGTTGAATTTATTTCCATCTCTTCTTGTAAACTTTTTGGGCATACACTAAATTCTGCTTCTGTAATTGTTAAAAATCCAAGTAAGTACATTTCTCTTATACCAACCTCTGGATAAAAGTTGCACAAAAGCTGTAGCAGAGTGTTGTTGGACTGAGAAATTGACTAGAAAGCCTTCCACTGCTGAAAGCTACTCTTCATTCTCTGAAGAAAGGATAATTCTAAAAAATCTTCAAGTATGACATACACTAGACAAAGAGAAGCTAACACTCCAGTTCAAACCAATGTAGCCAACTCAATTTAAGAGATGGAAATTTCTAATCCAGCAACTCCTGGGGAATTTTCACAGAAGAGAGGGCCTGGATGCCCTAAAAATGAAAAGTTTGCATTTTCCTCAAGTTTTTGAAGAAGAGCAAAAAAGCAAAAAAAATTATTCTTGGACAACTCTGAACAGAATGAACCCCTGGATGAATTTCATTGTATTTTGGTCCTATACCCAACCTGATGTTGGTAATGCACACCTTTGCCAAAAATCCAGAAGAGACCTACTAAACAAAATTGAACAGACTTCTGAAAAGACTTCATTTGGATTGAAGAGAGTATCAATCAATAAATTATCTCTCAAAAAAGAAGATATGGAAACATTTCTTTAAATTTCTAAGCTCTGAATAGAGATGAAGATGATCAAAAAATCATCTGACTATACGCTAGTCCAATCATGGGGAGTATTGAGACCAACCGCAGGAGAGATCCTTGTGGTGATCCTTCCAGAAAACCCCTTTAACCCTCAGGCAGCAAAGTTGGACTTTTTTTGTAAAATTTTGTGCCTCCTCAAGTCAAATTTTAAAAAATGCAGTCAAGGGAGTGGATGGCAAATTCAGAGAAAATCCTGGGATTTTTTTTTCTCAGCACAGCAAATGATTACTGAAAAACAAAAATAAACGCATCTTCAAGGCTGAGGTTTTTTTTTCTGTCCTGAAGGTGTCTTGGACCTCTGCTCCTCCCTCATTTTCCTAATCCTCTTTCCTCTTCAGTGTAGAAAAAGTTTAATACTTTGAAAAACACTTGCAGTGCTCCTTGAAAAGGAATTTGTTAGACAGGAGATTAAAGCCATAAGAAGCAGCACTGAAGAAGATTTAATTAGCATGAAAAGATAAGAGCTGAGAGAAATTAGCTTAGGTAGTACACATTTTTGCAATGGTTCCTTGTAGCTGCTGGATTCAGGATCTTAACACAATAAATCCACAACAGCATAAGAGAAAAGTCCAACTTAGCAGCCAGATGGGAAAGAACCCTTTGCTGCAGAAAAGTTAAAAAAGGGCACACCACCAAAGATCAGGAGACTCTTCTCCTTGAACAAGCTGGGGCCCTATAAACCCCACTTACCAAAAGGTCTTGAGCAAATTTGCTACAGGAAACAAATACTTCGTTGCTCAAGAAGATATTGCTGAAATTCAAAAGGTTTCAGATCATCCCTCCTTCCCACCCATTGACAGAGAAAATTCTGAAGAAGATTGGAAAAAAGTTGGAATAGTTTTAAAAGGTATCACATTGCCTCAAGACGCTTGATTACTCCCTCTGAGAGAATAACTCTTCTCAGATGCATCTATCTGGACAGCTGAAAAGGGACACTGCTCCCATCCAGACAAGTGAAAAGGAGGATGACTATTCAGACTTAGTCAAGCTCCTCTTTGATAAATATGGTAATGCATCAACTGCCAAGAATCAACTTTATTTGGAGATCAAACAATTTAGCCCTTGTGACAAGTGCATGATCGCAGCAGCCAAGCATGCATGCCATATGAGGGTTCTAACAAAAGTTCTTGGAGTCGACCACAAGCTGTCACTGGAGGTGGATGACAATTTTTTTATTGGATTCCTCATCCTTTTTTAACCTAGAACCAATTTTTTTTCATCCCTAGACAAAAATGGAAACTGGAAAAAAAATTGAATGAATTTTTTCTGGTGATGTGCCCACCCATTCTAACAGAAGTTCTTGGAGTCAACCACAAACCATCACTGGAGATGGACGTGCATTTTCTTTTTGGATTCCTCATCCTTTTCTGGCCTGGAACCGTTTTTTTTTCATCCCCAGACAAAAATGGAAACGCAAAATAAAAGCTTGAATGAGTCATATCCTGTGAAGTGCCCACCCATGACAATAGAGCAGTTGCGCACATGCTCTATGACTTTGCACCATGACAATGCTCATGCGCACACTGCTTTGAAAACTCTTGATTTCATTTCAAATTCAGGCATTCAGCTTTTGACTCCTCCTCCTTACTTCCCTGATCTTGCTCCCTGTGATTTTTGGTTGTTTCCAACTGTGAAAAAAGGGCTTTGAGGGAAAGTGGAACAAGGGAAGAGCTGATTTCTGCTGTGACTGAGGAACTAGAAAATATTGAAAAAGAAAGTTTCTCTCACTGCTTTCAAAAATGGGTGCATCAACTTGAAAAGTGCATTGCCATTGGTGGGAAATATGTTGAACAGAGCTGAAGGTTTTTTCCTGTGTTTCTTGAATGTTTTTTGTCAATAAGAAAATTTGTTTGACCCAAAAGTATTTTTTTTCATTTTCATTCCAAGAACTTCTGTTAGAATGGGTGGGCACAGCACCAGAAAAAACTCATTCAATTTTTTCCCAGTTTCCATTTTTGTCTAGATGATGAAAAAAATTGGTTCTAGGTTAAAAAAGGATGAGGAATCAAATAAAAAGATTGTCATCCACCTCTGGTGTTGCCTTGTGGTCAACTCCAAGAACTTTTGTTAGAACCCTTGCATGTATGTTCTTTTTCCAAAACTTAAAAAGATAGAAAAAAACCCTGGAATCATTGAAAAGAGGGAATGGCCTATTGTAGATTCCACACTTTCATACTCCATGATGATTGATGCAGCCCTTCAAAGGGCCCCTTGATCAGAGAGGATCACCTGGATATCTAATCTGTCAAAAAAAAGTATCCTTGGCTGAAGTCTATATGCACCTCTTTCTCTGTCAGAGAAAATAGACCTAATGAAAAAGCCTCCTGCTCCTTTAAAGTTGGAGTACAGGAAACTGAGGACATAAATAAAAAAGGGACTCTAACCCCTTAAAACTGCACTCACAGGATTGGAATAAAAATAACCTTCATCAAAAGAAGCCCAAGTTCATTAAGAAGAACTTTGAAAATAACAATTATCAAAAAATGTTGATATCATGTGTGCCTTCTGTGGTGGGGGACATTTCCCAACTTATTGTTAATTACATTTGGTAAAAAAAAGGAGAGAAAATGCCAAAGAAAAGAAACTTTTCTTCAATTTTCTCAGACTGTACTGGAATGTCAGAACAGGGGGAGGTATAGAACTTGCTCTCAGAAACCTAATACCTTTCTTTGTTGTAAAAAGAAGGGACAAAATGACAAACAGAAGACTCCTAATAAAAAGCACAAATAACCAGTTCATGGCCAGCTCACTCTAGATGAAATTAAAAGGCTTAAGTAAGATTTAGGAAAAAGAGAAGTGTCAAGGATAAATTAACCCTCTCCCTCCTCAAAAACTGAAGTAATTTCCAAAGAGTCTAAATCATGACAACTATAAGGACCAATTTAACAACTCTCTTCTCCTCCCGGACAAGCTCACTTATAGAAATTGTAGAGGTGAGGAGTTACCCAAATGGAGTAAAGTTGTATGTCGTTCTTGATATGGGTGCACAGACTACCTTTACACCAAGGCATGTATTGATAGGCTCAAGCTTCCCACTGAAACATGTTGGACAAAATACATCATTCACGGTAATAACAAAGTGGGGCAATGCATTATCTCTGACACATTTACCAATTTATACCTGGGCCATAAAAAAAGGGCTTGGTTACCCCACACAAACTCAGGACCTTGGGATTCCTGTCAAGGAGGCTTGGTCAGGAAAAAACCATGAGACTCTACCCTGCCTTGAACCCCATGAGGATAAAGTTGAAGATCCCCAAATTATTGAGGCCAATAAAATGGGATATTATCCTGCGGGGAAAGATGTGGTAACAGTTGCCAATATAGAGGCTGCAGCTGATACTTTGAATCAGGACACTCCTGCATCAAAGAGACTCTTCTTGTAGGAGTGGCAAAAGAAAATTTAAGCCATGGGGCCCCTTACCTAACAGAAAGGGCCCCAATTGCCTCAGTCAGAATAACTTATGAGGAAGATAATACAGAGGATCTCCTCTTAAATTATGAAATTTCCAAACAACTAGTCTAGTGACCAGTTCTATGTCTGTGGGGATCACAAAGAGAAGGCAAAAGAAATCAATGCCATTTTACAAGCCTACTTCAAAGAATTAAGCCTCTCAGAAGAGGGAAGGGTCATAGCCCATCTTCTTAAGGCTGCCTGCTTTCCAGAAGCTAGCAGCAACAATCTGAGAACAGGAGAGATAAGATGTAAATCTGTAATAAACCTCCTGATGATGAAGGGGGATAAATATTCCAACTCTTACAAAGAACAAGTAAAGGGTTGGGAAATGGACAGGGTAATAAAAGAAACTACCCTGGAAGAATTAAACAATAGGAAAACCCCTTATACTCTTTCACTCCACTCAAGTGTACAGTATTTGGTTTACTGGCTACCTGGAGAAGAAAGTGTGAGTTCAAACACACTTCCCCAGATCAGCCATTATTCCACATCACTCTAGATTTTGTCAAGTTGGAATTCCCCTTTTCAGAAAAAGGGTGTCAGCTAAAATTTGGTCAAAGAGGATAGAGACAACTCCAGGTCTCACCCTTACTCTCAA